TACTACCTTTTTATTAATCTCTTCTTTTTCTGTTTTCAGTATTGTATTCATATACTTTTTCTTACTATTCACTAATATCTTGTCTAGAACAATTTTGCTGTGGTGCTACTCTAATAAACTATTAAATATTTTTTTTAGATTTGCTATATGTAGTGCAAATATTTTCTTGATATATTTACTAATTTCTTTTTTTTTTCTAACTTTACTTCTTTTCTTGCTCTTTCTCTTAATATATTCCACTATTCCTTAATCTCTAGACACTATTCTTTTTCTACTTACCTGGTGTTCAGAGATTTGCGTGTTATATTCACTATTTAAATATCTAATTCGTGCATTATATAGTATTTTATTGATTTCTTCTATATTTTTCTCTAAGCTAACCCTAAACTTAATGCGTTCTTTTTTTTATTGATTTCACTGATTGGTCGGCCATATGACTAGCGATGCATCGCACTGGCGATGAATGATAATTATCTTAATAGGACTATATTGAAAAATAAAATAAATACTAATACTAGAGTTTAGATTACATATTACTAAGTCTATAAAATTTATATACTTTTAACAAATCTACTTGTTAAATAGTTTTATAAGAATCTTTATTAATACAGTAAACTTGGTATCTTTTTTTGTAACTAGCAATTATAATATTTTTCAAAATAAAAAAATTGCTCTATCATTTTAAGACCTCTTAATATTCACAGCCTATTTGAATAGCTTTCTAGTGAATATATATTGGAAAAATATACAAATAATTAAATTCAACTTTTTATTATAACGATAACGATAACGATAAGTAATTAAATACATTGAATTGACGATCCACAAATAATGATGTATTGTGTAGCCTAATTAAGTATGTTAATGAATTAATGATATTTATACTTATGAAAATGAATTTAATAGCCTAATTGGCTGGAGCTGAGAGAGCGAAATAAAGCCTAACAAAATTTTCAAGATGACCGGCTCCGAATGAGTAATCCTAATCAATTAATTGTTATAACTGGTTCTATTAAATCGGTTAATCGGTTATAACCGATTATATTAAGCTGGTTCAACCTTTGCGCCAGTGGCGCCTTTGTATTTATTTAAATAATAAACTAGATCAACATATTAATGGGAAGATAATTTTACCTATAATCTAATACTGTAATAGTGTAGATTTCAACCAATTTCTAACCATTTTACGTAACATCGACATGCTCTGCTTTAGAGTCCTAAAATGGTTAATTAAATGATCAGAAAGTATATAAACAATGAGAGTGCGCATAATTATTGTACGTACATACTATTATTTTTTTTAAATGGATTCAAATTTGAAGGTATATATTTGATTGGGATTCTCTATGCATATGCTGAATCGCATTATTGATTAAACGTTCAATTGTTTATTGTATATCTAAGTCGAAATCTCCCGCAATGACTAGTACTTGGAAACCGTTCATTTATATTCATCAAGAACGACAAAAGATTTCTTGCAGTGGTAATAATGGTAATTTTTTGTTCAAATATCCGGTGCGAATTACGAGTAATAGTTTTCTCGATAATCTCACGCAAAAGAAGAATCAGTCGAAAATAGCGTCTGTTCGATGTACTTTTTATCCTGTTGGAGACTTTGAATATAAGACAGGAGTTGCATCTGTTGGATCTGAGTTAGTTGAGGATGATTCTTCTGTTTTGGAACGGTACCATGGAGTTTATCGTTCTAACCCTGGTGCTTTGTCGCAAAGAACTATTAAATTGGAGAAGGAGTATCGCTCTTCTAAATTGCCTTGTAATAAAGAAGCAACATATTTTCTTTTTGGTAATAGTGGGTTAAAGAAAGGGAGTGTGATTGGTAATTTAATTGTAGATTATGAAATTCATATGAGTAACAAGTATATTTATAAGGAAAAAAATGTGGATGGTGATGATAGTGATTATAGTGACAGCTGAACTGATGCTCACATTTTATTAAAAATTTTTAGGATTTTTTTTTTAAAAAAAAAAAAAAAAAAATTAGGATTAGAGTTGTCAATAAAAGGATTTTAAAAGATATTATAGATTTAATGGAGACTTCAAATATCACATAAGTTGTCATAATATCGAAGCATTCGTTTCGACACTCACCTACAATTCATAAAGGTAGT